ACCCTAGTGATACTCAGCAATGAGGTATGTAGTACTTTTTCTAGGATGAGTTCGCGAACTTAATTTTCAGACCTCGTATAATGCAACAGAATAGTAGGTACAACTCTGAGTGGTAGATTAAGCTTTCACTCTTTGCTTAACATACTTTAATGCTATTTGAATTTGTTAAAAATTAAAACAAGCATAGTGATGTTTTTATGATTTTTTTTTTAATTGGGGAACTGGGGGGATGGGAACAGTGGTGGGGAACCGGGGAAGGGGAACAGACAAGTTGCTGTCATTTTGTTCCTCAGTCTAGTTGTGGAGGACGTTGCTTCACTGGCCCAAGTTGGCGCCATCATTGTGCTCTTCCCGGGTGAGGCAGATCAGTCGCCGGCTTCTGGACAGCCGCTCACAGCGGCTGCTGGCCACTGGCTACACACGGTAGCCCATGGCAACCCACTGCAGCAGGGGCTTCAGCCTACGCCGTCAACTCATGGCAGCCCAGCTCCAGGTTGAGCTGAACAACAGCTCAGCATCTTAGCTGTGGAGGGCAGTGTCACTGGCCCTCATATGTGATCTGAACCGGGGCCCTCTGGCATCCTAAGCCAGTTCCTAACCATCGCGCCACTCGGCCGGCCCTTTTTATTATGATTTTTTTTTTTTTTAATGGTGAATGTTTTAGAAAGACTCTTAAGTTTCTAGTTTTGCCAGCTCTTTACCAAATTAGAACTAGGAATAACCAGCAAGAAGAATGGGTGAAGGTATTTACCAGGGAAGGGATAGGATTGCTAAACAAAGGTCAAACAATGGGAGAGGAGACAAAATAAAAGATGCCAACATATTTTCCAAAAACAGAAGCAAATGAAGCGGTAACTCACCGGCAGGTGAAGGGTGTTGTGGCCCAAGTACCTGTGGAGAGGGAATGTGTGTGAAGCCAGTGTGCCCACAAAACCCAGGAAAGGCTCATCGCAGTAATGCACACAGCTGAAAAGTTATGTAGAGCTGTGATATAACTATTGTATATATAATTATACTGTACATAACTATATAGTTTTATATATAACTGTACATACAGTTATATAGTATATAACTGTCAGGGAGGAGTGTTACAGAATGGGGTGGTTGGTGTAGCTAAATCTTTAACTACCATAAAAAGGAAACTAGACTATGTCTAAAAATGAAAAGCAACATTACCATATTTATTTAGAAATGTGGAAGTATCAGAAGAGCGGACAGAAAATTTGGGAGTATGGCCTCTGGAAAGCAAGATTGGGGATGGGGGGAAGGGTGACCGTTTTGTTTTAAGCCTCTAAGTGTATGATTGGTGTATAATTTTTTTAACTATGTATATTTAGCTGTGTATATGTTTCACTGTTATCATGTGGGCACTGGAAAATTAGCTGCCACCTCTTAAAAACCTAGGAAGGGAAAGGAAGAACCAGTGCTGAGGTAAGGCTGGAGGATAGAGCCTTTAGTGAAAAGGCTAAGGGTGTGGGGGAAATTCATTTGCAGTTGGAAGAGGCATCAGGGATCTATCAGATCCCAAAGTCTAGACATGCTGAAAACACGTTTTATTGGCATTTCAAGCCATTTGAACATTACCCAGCTAATGTGATTGATGTGACCAGTTTCTTCTTGTCTTAAAAAACATTAAACTCAAACTGCCTTTAAAACTTGACCCTCTGAAGAAGAACAAAGCTGAAGGCATCACAGACCCTGACTTCAAACTATATTACAAAGCTATAGTAAAAAAACAGTAATGGTACTGGCATAAAAACAGACATATATATAAACAGAACAGAACAGAGAGGCCAGAAATAAACATACATACATATATATATATATATATATATATATATATATATATATATATATATATATATATATACAGTCAATTAATTTATGACAAATCAGCTAAGAATATACATTGGGGAAAGGACTGTCTTCAATAAATGTTGGGAAAACTGAACAGCCAGCCACATGCAAAAAATGATGATGTACCACTGAATCTTACACCTTACACAAAAATTAACTCAAAATGGATTAAAGACTTGAACATAAGAGCTAGAACCATAAAACTCCTAGAAGAAAACATGGGTAAGTTCCTTGATATTAGTCTTCAGTACTTTTTGGGTTTGACACCAAAAGCAAAAATCAATAAGTGAAACTATATCAAACTGAAAAGCTTCTGCACAACAAAGGAATCCATCAATACAATGAAAAGACAAACCTGGAGAATTGGAGAAAATGTTTGCAAACCAGATATCTGATAAGGGGTTAATATCCAGAATATATAAGGAACTCATGCAACTCAATAGCACACACATACAAAAAAAAATCCAATTAAAACATGGGCCGAGGAACTGAACAGACATTTTTCCAAAAGCATACAGATGACCAAGGGTATGTGAAAATGTGCTCAATATCATCATCAGGGCAATGCAAATCAAAACCACAATGAGATATCACCTCACACCTGTTAGAATGGCTGTTATCAAAAAGACAAGAAATAAGTGTTGGTGAGGATGTGGAGAAAAACCCTTGTGCACTGACAGGATTGTAAACTTGTGCAGCCACTATGGAAAACAGTATGAAGGTTCCTCATGATATTAAAAATAGAACGAATACCATATGACCCAGCAATTCCACTTCTGGCTATTTATCTGAAGAAAATGAAAACGCTAACTGGAAAAGATACCCGCATCCTCTCTACGTTCCCTGCAGCATTATTTACAAGATATGAAAACAACGTAAGTGGCCATCAACAGATGAATGATAAAATGTGGTGTGTATGTACACAATGGAGTATTATTCAGCCCTAAAGAAGAAAATCCTGCCATTTGTGACAAGATGGACCTTGAGAGCATTATGTTAAGTGAAATAAGTCAGAGAGATCATACCATATGATCTCACTTATAATGTGGAATCTAGAAAATCCAAACCAAAACAAAAAACTCAGCTCACAGATACAGAGAACTGACTGGTGGTTGCCAGAAAGGGGGGAGGGGGTCAAAAGGTACAAACTTCCAGTTATAAGTTACAGGGATATAATGTACAGCTTGGTGACTATAGTTAATAATACTGTATTACATAAAAGTTCCCATCACCAGAAAAAGAAATTTGTAACTATGGTGATGGATGTTAACTAGACTTGATTTGGTGATCACTTCACAATATATACAAATACATATGGATCATTATGTTGTACACATGAAACTAATATATGTCAATTATACCTCAATTAAAAGAAAGAAATACCTTTCTGGTCTCAATGGTTCTCCACCTTCTTGCCAGGCCAGCATCGTCTTTGGGAGAAGCGAATGGTCTGGAAGGTTGTCTGATGTGCTCTCTCCATCTTCACTCCCAACTCCTGGGCTGAAAGTGAGACGATTTCATGAACACTTAAGTGGGCGGGAAAAACATCTTGGAAGGGTCCCCTGCCCACCCCACAGGCTGCTACAGTTGCCTCTGTTTCTTTTACTTCCAAAACACTAAAGGACACAGAAGTGGGGTTCACAGCTCATATTAGAGACTGAGAACCTAGGTAACTCCCAGCTCAGATATCCACAATAGGTTTGCTATCAGCAACAGATGCGCACATCACCTTGGAAATGTAGCCAATTGTACGATGGACATGAACACAAGGAGGAGCTACGTGTCCTAGAGAACATCATCTCTAGGATCTGAAGTGTCATGGGGGAAGGTAGGGGGAAACAAAACCAATTGTTTTCAAAACCCAGTCTGGGATTTGAGGCCTTGCTGAAGTGAGGTACAGTATTTCATCCTGTGCTCCCATCATGACAGCTTGGCTGGACGCAAACTGAGTTTTGAGTACCTACGTTTGAACTTCAGCTTCTAAACACCATCCAAAGCTAGTACCGAGCCCAACACAGTGGGGACACAGTAGATATTCATTGAATAAACAAAGAACAAGTCAGGTTTAGGGAAAATACCTTTTAATACAATGTAACTTTAAAACCTGATTTGTCTAGTTAACTAAGTGTTAATGCAGGAGTGGAGCTCTTTTTCTGTATAATCACCTGTATCCTGTTACTAGGCTCTTGTTCCATTGTGTGTATACTACTGTAAGCATTTAGGCTGCATAGTACAAGTAAATGCAGTGGATGCCAAGGTTAAGCTTCATAATGAAGGGATAAGCCTTTCAGGTCACCACACAAGAGAAAACATCACATACCAGTCAAACTTCTGGGTAATTTATAGCTTATAATAATATTAAAATCCTTAATGTACTAAAATTTTACAAATTCTAGATAATAACCAGTAAGTGTGGCAATTTGAGACACAGCAAAAAAATAAATTTCAAAGGACATAAAAGTGGATACCATGCCCACTTTCTGAACGTGCACACTGCCACCGCTTGCACCGCATCTCCCAGGCGCTCGTCCTGCGTGGCCCATGCAGTGGAGGGACTTACACAGACAGTGTTCTGAATGGAAAACGCGTATCCATTCCTTTTTCACCCATGTATTTATTTAGCTGGACTTTCATCCATTATCATGTATATATAGAGTTGTGAATCATGACCCTTAAAGTCATGGCTTCTTGGAAAAATGCAGTCGATTTCTCCTTTTCATTTTGAGGATTTTACTGCTCAAGACCCAGGGAGCAAATGAAGCCCCTACTGTAACTGCCCGCCAGAGCTCTGGAGACATTGGCGCACAACTGGAGCACTCTTCCCCAATAAGCCTGTATCACCTCAGAAATCTAACTCCACGTGGCCCCCCAACAGCCACTGCCAACCAGTCAATGGCTATGGCAGGAGAAATGCCACATGGCACCTTCCCTGCTCTGCCTGGAGACAGAAAAGTGGGGGGGGGGCGGAGTTCCTGAGCGCTCTGAAGCTCTAGCTCTCCAAAGTGACAAAGGCATCAACTAAGGAAAGTGTGTGAATCTTCTCAAACTTCTCATTTTATGGCTCAGATGCTGTCACCCTTCATAGAGCCAATCAAATTTTTTTAAAACAATTCATTATAAACAATATTCTTTAAAAACGTTGATGCTGTGACAGTGCAAACAGCATTCATTTTATTGCTCAACTTCAGCATGGGCACATACATAGTTAATTTTTAAAAACCATTTATACAGATGTTATTGATAAAGCTCATGTAACAACTGAGTGAAAATACAAAGAATATCAAAGCTAAAACACTCTGTAATAAATACAAATACAATGAAAATGATAAAACTTTGTTTTTAAAGTCAGTTTGAGAGAAGGAAGAATATTACATTAAGTGAACTATACATCTAGAAACAAAACAACTCAGCATTTGGTACAATCATCATCCTAACATAAGAACATTAAATACCACGAACGGCACCCGTTGGCGGTGCTGCAGCTTAAAAACAGAAGCAGAAGGAGCTGCTCTATCAACCTGTAAAGATGGCTGGAACAATCTCTAACTCCCATCAACGCAATCAGTTCAATGCACCGGAAGTTCAAAGCAGACTTAGTGTTGTAAAATAAAGCAAATTACATGGTATTTAAAAGCAAGGAAACTTGTGCTCTGGGCTGTAAATACAAAGGGGGAAAAAAGGACTTGGTAAAAATAAAACCCATTCAAGGCAACAAACTATGTGCAAAACAAAATGTACACTATACACAGCACTATTTAAAAACTCTTTACACCAAGAAATAAGACCTTCTGAAATAAACTCACCTCTGCACTGCATATGAGCTCTACAAAGTAACCACTGTTCGTAATTAAGCATTCGTGATGGAAAGGCAATGTATGGAAACGTAGCATCACATATCTGAAATAACACAACTAAAGGAAGGATTAGAAAAAAACCCAGTTAAGAGGGAGGGACATGTGGAAATAAATATTCACATTAAACATGAGGTGCAAGTCCAAGGTTCAAGGACACATTGGGGGGTGTTGTTTGCTTAGCACCTATTCGGGAGTCATCAGGTAACATACTTTTGAAAACGAAATCTAAATCATCATGTTTTTTATAAATTATGTTGGTGATACCACAGACCATTAGGGTAATTGATTTCTTTTAAAGCTCTGTTGTCATTATAAAGTTAAAAAGGCACTCAAAAAGCAATGGTATTTGCCTGCTTGATATTGTACATGATGATAGTAGCATTTCCTTATTACTGCATCCGTCAGTATTTCTCTAGTGTTCATGTACTTCATCTTTACTGAAAGGTTATAAGAGTAGGCACGATTACACTGTACTAGTGCTTAAATATAAGAGAGAGATGAACCTGCAACCAGGAAGGTGCTATTGTGAAAGCTGCAGACTACTGATAATCAGGTAGTATACAAACCTTCTCTGTACAGATGTTCTTCGGTACTAATGCAGTAGGAAAACACCAAGTGTTTGAGAAGAAAAAGGTCGGCATAAGCACATGACCATTGCAGTTATGACGAGGACTAGCTTGCACATAGCAAATTTAGCTGAATGAAATGAATTTAAACACTTAGAAACTACACGCATAGTTCTCCACTTGTCTTTTAAGCAGCAAAATGTCCACTTCTTTAATCCCCCCTGCACCCCTCCGTACAGGAACACTTACTTGGAATTCCGATACATAAAAGAGAAAAACGGAGCTGCTCGGAGAAAGGAGGGCGGGGGTGGGGAGTTACAGGCCCTGCTGAAATACCAACCAGGCCTTTCCTCTCCTTCTCACTCTGTCCCTCTCTCAAACCATTACTTCTGAGGCACCTCGGAGGAACCCCTTGGCTCCAAGGACACAGACTGAAGACCAGTCCATCAAATGAAAGAACACAAAGGGTCTAATTCACTTGATAATTAAACTGAAAAATTTAAACAAAGCCACGTCATCAAAATGTGCTCTTCTTGATTTCACATCAACGTAAAAAGAAAGAATAGTGCCGATTTCTGACGGCTGAGTTTACAAATCCAGCCATGATTTCAGATTTTTCTAACCCCTCACCCAGAATGTTGGTTGCCTCGTGGATCATGCACCACGCCACACACACCGAGAGCTAAATCTGGGTATTTCAAAATCAGATGCCGATCTCCAACACCAAGGGAACTGGGTTCCCTTACTTCCAAAATTCACTCTTCAGTTTTAATTTATGCCATAGAATTAGAATCAGTTTCTTTAGTAATCACATCCCTTGCCCCACCACCCTCACTTCATTTTATTGGGTAAAAGCAGGGTTTTCTAAGTTTGCAAAAAAATCTTTGAAGCAATTTTTTCCTTTTTCATAAATTTAGCTGATTAAAATATCATGAGCAGCTGAACAAAGATTCAGAATGGTTTACCTGTTAGAAAGTTAACACCGTAATTAATATATAAGTTAGGTGTACTTGTCATAGGAGACTTTGGTTTACAGAAATAATGTATATATATATTAAAGATAAGCTGACCCAACAAAAGAATGAAAATCCCATCCCATCCACATGATCTGAAAGCTATAAAAATGCAGGATTTCCGTTTAAGATGAGAAGTAAATCCAAAACACCTGGTCATATTGATTCAAGATTTTAAAAAATTAGGATTTTTTTTTAAGTCTCTTAAAAACAGGGAGCCCCTGAAAGCATCCTATTGTAGCAAATAAGCTACTAAGTTTAGACTAAATGGTTGCATTAGAAAAGTTGACAAACAAAATTATATAGCTGTATTCCAGGAAATCTGTGCTTGAAAAATATAAAAAAGACTCACTTAGGCTAGGTTGAAACATATAATGCTTTTAAAATATAATGCTTTGCTATAGAAAAATGTACTTAAACATGTAAATGGCTTAATTTTTTAAAGATAATGATTCTTTCAGCCAATTGTTTACAAAGGTAGAATAATTCAAAATAATTTTATTTCATTTTTTTTTTACAAAGAGCAAGTACAGGAGCTGTTCAAATTCATGTATTCAATCAAAATGAAATGTGACTTGTACCGACTGCTGAAGTTGTCTCGATGTTTGAGAGACTTGAAATCTGTGAAGCAATTTGAATAGATTACCTTTTATAAAAATAGTAGTAGTCTTTAAGTGTAGAATACTGCCTAACTCTGGAAATGTAGGAAAAGTCAGCATTCTTTAGGTTCAAGATATTAATTTTAAATAGCAGCTGAATGCGGCCTCATGGCAAAACATAAAGACCTCTTTTTTTCCCTTGAAAAGGAATTTAAAAATTGTCCTTTCCCCTCACAGTGTCCTAAAATTTAAAGGGGTGGGGGTGGGGGCATTTTCCTGTATTTCAGCATTCCTTGAAACTCTGCTGAAAGGAGGCTGTCCGGGGTATAAATAGAGTCCTGGGTAAATCCTTGACGTTTGTCATTCCACAGCAAATCCACATGTTTCTTCGATGGCTGTTAGCAGCTTTTCATATAACTTTTCATAGCTTTCATAGGGCGGAATGTCTATTCGATTGAAGCTGTAAATAAGCAAATTAGATTTTATACGGTTTATTCAATGTAAGTAAACCAGCCTAGCAAGTGTACGCTAATACAGCCACATAGAAAATTAAAGGGAAAAGGTTCTATTTCTCTAAAGTAGAGATTACCACTTTTGGGTTTTCCTACCAATTTCTGAGTAATCTCAAATCACTTAAAGAGTTGCTTATCATTCCTTTTAAAGGTCCATTTAGAGGTAAGAACAATAAATGAACAGTCATCTGTTTGAAACTAATACCTACACACATGGAAAAAGGGGGGAAGCTACAAAACTGGCTCACCACGTGTGGGCTTTTGGCAGGTTGTTCGTGCAGGCATCAATCTGGTGGATGGTAAAGAGCCGCGGGCCTGCTGCACCTGCAAAGAAGCACATGGGGGTCAGGTCACCACAAGGGCAGGTGTTGGTCTCCCAAACCTCAGAATAAACTGGTACCTAAACCACAGGGGCAGGGAATGCTGGTGATGCCACACGAGCTGCCAAAAAATTCCTTTCCTAAGAAAAGAAGCTGGGATTGAAAGCTGGAACTGACCTTGGATAAGGCTGGATTCCTTAATGTGCTAGCATTTCAATTTGAGAAAAAGTTCAGGACTGAAGCCCTTTGCCAACTTCTATCTTCTATAGAAAAGCAATGTCCCAAAAGTATGAGAAGAAAAGTAAGTGGGCAAATGCAAGATTAAATATCTACACACGTTCAAAAAGATGACAACACTAATGCACATTTAGGTTTTGTGACTCAAACTTGGCTGAGAGCAAAGGATGAGCAGCCTACAGGGTAAATTTCAGTTTAATATAAGACATATAAGAAACACGCTTCACTTTATGCAGTGGGGTAGTCTGATAACGATGAGTTTTCCAAACAGGGAATAGAAGCACTACTCAAAGTGTGCTTCCCCCGGACTTCCGGCATCTGTACTGGGGCCACACTGCTGGATTATGTACCAGTCTTGCTTCATACATCCTCAGTCATCACCAGCAGTGGCAGCTTTGGAAATGAAGAGCTTCGGAACTAAAGGAAGCAGCCACCACTCAGTGAAGCACCACACTCATTAGCAAGATTACCAACTCATCCAAAAATACAACAACGATTCCACAGAAAACCATTCTTTACAACGGAACATGGTTTTAAGTTAATCGTCTGGTGCCATGCAGTAAGTAACGTGCTCTGGCCAAACAAACGGCTTCCTCGACACATGCTGCTTCTTTCTATCCAAAAAATAGAAAGGTAGAGGGGAGAGGGCATCCCAAGTGGGTAAGTGATTTGCCAGGCTGAGATGTGAAGGTAGAAGCAGACAGACTTCCCCTACAGGAATGTGCAAACAGAATTTAAAAGCCAGGGTCTCGCCCAGGGTCTCTACCACGCCGGCACTCACTATAATCACAGTGAACTCAGCAGAAAAGGCTCTTGGGAGGGGAATGAAGGAAAGGAAGAAGAAGGGATCAGGTGTGAGAGTTACAGATAACAAAGAATAGGGTGTTTACAAGCACACGGTTTGCAAACTATCACAAAGACTGCCCCGCACCATCTGGCCCTCTGGCTCTCCTTACCTTGCAAAGCTTTGAAGCCCTGCAGAGGCACTCTAGATGATCCTGTCACAAACTGAAGTAACCGTGCGCGTCGCTCTTCATCGAAAAACTCCACAGCTTTCCAGAACCACTTGACAACATTGCTGTCTGGTGTACAGTGTTTTAACCGGGTGTTTACCTTCCAGTCATTAACATCTATCTTTCCAAGGCCACAAATTATGAGCTGTTAAAATATTGCACAAATTATGAGCCAGTGGAAACCCAAGTTAAGCCAAAAATTCCTCCAACTAGAACTTTCAGATTTGCAGTGTTGGCTCTCATGTGGTGGTTCTTAATCAAGGATATACATCAGAATCTTCTGGAAAACTTCAATATATACACCCCAGGTCCTATGCTCACAGATTTTAACTCTGGGGTGACACTAGGAAGCACCATGGGTACCATTCACTTTCAGGTCCCCTACCCAGAGCCTGAGAACCTCCACTGTGAGGGACACAAAATGGGGGTGGTACTAAGTCAAACCAATGTTTTTAGATGTGTTTACTAAGAAGTCTGTTGACAGATTTAGTTAGAAAGGACATTGAAATTAATTAATAAAATCATATAGGCTTCAAATATTTATGCTCTCCCTAGCCACTAGTTAAATTTGGGATCTCTGGTAGACTAAAACCTCATTGTTTTTTCAAAGTAGTTCAGTAGAAATTCAGATGTATTTGTTAAAGGTCTTAATCATAAAACCAGACCTAAGGTGCTTGAAGAACCAGCTTTAAAATAAAACAAAAAACAAGTTAACTGTTTATTATAGCTGTTAACAAGAAATGTTTCCCAAGAGACTAAGGATGTTTAAATACAGTTTATCCTAAGTGTTTTAATTATTTCCTCTATGATCTTGTAAAAAAGAGCAAATGCTTTCTTGTAAAGCTTAGTGTAAATCGATTGAGCCTTAGGCTGTTATTCCAAGTAAATCTCAATATGGTGAAGACCAAGTAATAAAGTTTTATTTAACTAAATCAATAACCACTTAATTAGGGAATAGAAAACAACACTGGAAGAAGGTACACGGAACACATGAAATCTGTTGAAAATAAGAAAGGATAATATGGAAAAATAAAATGTTCACGATATGAGAGCGATTGCTCACTTGTAGAAATTTTAAAGCAGAAAAGACTGTTCCTGGGCATAAGAATTCTCACAGAATTGTACCATGAAACTTCAAAAGCACCAGAAATACCACTTTCCTCTAAAACTCAGTAACAGAAACTAACTTTCCCTTGTTACACTAGATGATGTCATGACATTAATACACTGACCTCTAACTCCTTCTCATCAAATGTCTTCAGCAGATGCTGCGGAATTACTTCATTAAATCCTTTCTGCAGGGCCAGGAATTGCGCCTCGATGCCTCGTAAAAACCTCCAGTTGACGTAGAGCCTATGAACATTGGGCAGGGGTTTCACATGATCAAGTATGTTCAGATTTGGTCATTATTATGAACCTCTACTTTAGCAACACTGTACTTTACAAGCATCTATCTAGCAAGAAGAATTTAGACTAAAGTCTAAAAGAATCTCAGGTTATTGAGGGTAGATGGATCCTGAGCTGGGAGGCAGTTCAACGTAAATTAAAAAGTGGTAACCTTCCAGTAACAAGAGCTGCACCAATAAAGCAACTCTTCAAATCAGAGAAACTCCTAGTAAACTGGAAGTCAGCTGGAATTTAGGTGGGTCTGAAGTCAAAGTCTAGGTGAAACTTCTTTCTAAACTTCTAGCATGCATGCCAATCAACCACAAAAAAGAGCCCATTTAACCAAAAATGACTGTTTTTCTGGTTTCACTTGAAAATATGATCTGAATACGCTGGGTGTTTTGTTTATATTTGGGGGGTGGCATATGGGGGAAGAGGAGTAAAAGAGAATCCTCATATCCAAAATGTGAAGAAACAGTAGAAGCCAACAGTAAGCACTTCTTGATTAAATGCTCATTGTTCCGGAGGGCTTTAAAAACCTTGGAAGATGTAATTTACCAACAAAAAGTACACTAAACTACATCTAATGTGTAGCTTTACTCATGTTTTTGACTTGGACTTATAATTTATAAATGAATTGCTTTATTTTTGTTTTAATCTACCCAAGAAAGCCTAACCATCTTACAAATCTCAGAAATACTCATCTTCCAAGTTTGTCAACACATCCTTTTCCAAACTTGGACAAATAATTCTCTACTTTAAGAAATAAGTTACTTAACATTATATCCTTTGGGGGACCTCATTTCTGTGTGTTTATTTAAAGGAACACCAAAATTGCACATATAAAAAGTTTGTCTTTGTGATTATTTTAATCGCAAAACTGTATCTGCTAAGGGATAATTACTGTGTGTTACAAACATGACTGAATCCTGGAGAGTGGGAGCTAGGAGCTGAGTAGTCCACACTCGATTCTGGAAGTGACACACTAGGGAAATTCAGGAAATTCCCATTCATTCTTTTTTTTTTTAATTAGAAATGTAATACATGCTTGTTAAATATATAAAGAAAAATCAAACACTAAATGTGGAGACAAAGTAAAACCTGGAAGTCCATTCTTTCATCCTCTTTCCCTCTCCACTTCCAGGCTCACCACCTCCACTCCCTCACCCGAGACAAACACTTGATTTGGTACATAGCCTTCCTGAAGAGCTTCCATGTAATTAGAAAACACCACCACAGATTCTATGCCTACATAACTGTTCTAAGACTTGCTTTTTATTTATTTATTTTGTTTGTTTGTTTTTAATTGGGGAATTGGGGGATGGGAACAGCGCTGGGAAATTGGGGGAAGGGGAACAAACAAGTTGCTGTCCTTTTGTTCTTCAGTCTAGCTGTGGAGGACGTTGCTTTACTGGCCCAAGTTGGCACCATCATTGCGCTCTTCCCCGGGCGAGGCAGATCAGTCGCCAGCTTCTGGACGGCTGCTCACAGCGGCTGCTGGCCACTCATGCTGCCTGCTGGCTACACACGCAGCCCATGGCAACCCACTGCAGCAGGGGCTTCAGCCGACGCCATCGCAGGCGACTCATGGCAGCCCAGCTCCAGGTTGAGCTGTTGTTCAGCATCTTAGCTGTTGAGGGCAGTGTCACTGGCCCTCATATGTGGGATCCGAACCGGGGCCCTCTGGTGTCCCAAGCCAGTTCTTAACCAACGCACCACTTGGCCGGCCCTAAGACTTGCTTTTTAAATCTGACAGCTTACACAGAGTCTTTTTGAAAAATCCATATAATATTCTTTTGAATGTATATAATCATTCTCTAAAAACATTTGTTTTCAATTTTTACAGTAATTTAATTGATATTAAATTTAATATTAATCTCTAATATTTAATCCTTATTCATAATTAATTCATGTGTTTCCACAGCATAGATTCCTAAAGATGGAGCTGCTAGTTAAAAGGCTATTATCAAACTGCTTTCCAAAAAAGCTATACCAATGTTCTCACCCATCAACAGTCTGAGACTGATGGGCCTCATGTGTAAACTAGGAAAGTTATAGCCAATAGGACTTAGGGACATAATCTATACAAAGAAGTATAGCATGCATGTTTCTGTGTACATATGGTGAAGTTCGAACTCCTAATTTGATTACCATATTATGTAATTAAGTTTTATGTCGAGAAGAATTTTCATTACCGTAAGCCAAATGATCTAACCTGACACTTTTAAAGTCCTCAATCAACAGGTAACTTTATAAAAACTGGAGAACATTTTCTTACATCTAGCTCTTAAACTCACAATGTGCCTATTTATAAACAGGATAAGTGCTAGTAATACAGCCCAAAGCGCTTCTGTATAGCCAGCCGTGGTGGTGATGCTCCACACGGCCAGGCACCATGTTTCCTGGTTCTAGGCCTTGTATAGCCACTCCTCTAGGCTGCACTTGGGTTGGCATGTGACTCGCTTTTAACCAAAAGAATACAACAGAGGCAACGTTGGTCAGTTCCAGGCTTAGGCCTTACAAAGATCCAGCAACCTCTGCTCTTGTGCTCTCGGAAACCAGCCGCGCCCTAAGAAGCCTGGCTATCTTGCTGGGGAGAAAGAGGCCGTGGGGAAAGTGAGAGGCCGCTGCAACATGTAGAGATAACCCAGGAGCCCAGCCAACAGTGAGAACTGGGCCCCAGACAGTGACCCAGCGGCTGCTCCCGTTCCAGCCAGCCCCCAGCCTGCTGGGCCATCCCGGCTGTCTGCAGATACTGAGTGAAGAGGCCATCTTGATGTTTCAGTCCCAGCTGACGCCACACCGAGGAGTGCTGTGCCATCCCTGCTGCTCTCTATCCAAATTCCTGACCCACAGCATTGTGGGAAATTATAAAGTGGAGGTTGTTTTTAAACCACTCAGTTCTGTAGGAGCCTATTTTATAGCAGCAAGTAATACTACCTAAGTACGTACTTCAGTGTTTTTCTTACTGCCATTCTAGAACATTAAAACAATTCTCAGGCTTGAGAACACAGAAGTGTTTACCTGACATATTCCTTTTTATTTTCTTCGGTAACAGGGATACTCTTGCCATTTGGTTTAAGCTCATGCTGAATAATTTCCCCATATGCATTGTGTTCGACACAGAAGGTATGGTCCAAAACACCTGTAATATCATTCTCACTAGAAAGGAAGAAAAGGCAAGACACTTAACTGGAAGATCTCAAACACTGACCCTTCAGATGTATTAACTGGTGAGACAATAAAACTAAAGTAATTTTATGACCTGACAAATATAAAGTCAGATTCTTTTGATTAGTTCTTATGCTACCATGCCTCCTGCTTCCTGGGCAGAAAAGTCAGAGCTTTAACCTTCATAAGCACAGGAAACATTTCACTTCCTGAGGAATGAGGAAGAACCCTGGCCAGAGGCGGGCTTTACATTAGGAAACTGCAGTTGTGTTTGGCTTTCGGGTAAGAGGCCCTATCTGAATCTGGGTACCCCCAAGTAATCAAAATCCCCCAGTGAGAAAGCTACTCGTGAGTTTGGTAAAAATAAGTACAGCCAATATATCTTCATAAACTCATGCCCTCCCACAAAACAGAACTGGTTCCTACAGATACCCTTTTTAAAGTATGGTTTCAACAATCCCCTTCAGCAGGAATTTGCTATTTTAACACCTGCAGGATTGGAATCAAACTTGCATCAATCACCTTGAAGGAATCACTTATAGTACCTTTTTAAAAGACACTATACTAATTTTTCTCCTTTTTAAGGTAATAACATTCACTAACTTAGGAATTTGAAATTTACAGGAAAGTGGTAGAAAGAGGAAAAATCTTATGTGGTCCTATCACTCAGATAATCACTCTTAGTATTATCTGTGCATTTTTTAAATTTTAAAGAACTACATCCATTTTGAAACAGCACCTTTTTTAAAAGATCAAATTCTAACTATAATGAACAGATACAAGACTCAATACATACAGTATCCACACTAAACTGTTATGAAGATCCGGATCAACTAACTCCATGTCATCCAAAGTAATTGACTTCCCAAGTAACTGTTTATAAAAAGGCAACGTGAAACCACCATCAATGTAATGTCCATGAAACACAGCCATTCCCATTATTCGTCCAACAAAGTGGAAATATGATAAGTGTTCCTGAAATTGAAAAGAGTTTATATAAATACTCAAGTTAGACACTATCCAGGGAATTTTTAGTAAAAATTAAATTTAAGCAACATTAATCTTTTTTATAGTAAGTATCAACTCAAACTTTAATTTACAACTATTTAGATGGAACAGGCTATCGTATCAAAGCTCAGTAATCATTAGGGAGAGTTTCTATTTGGCAAGTTCAAGATTCTGTACACTGTTATAAAATATTACACCAGAGTCAATGCCTCTCTCAAAGGGTACAGTCACTTTGTAAAATTTATCTTTAGAAATTAAGTCCAGACACAGTCCCACTGCAGCATCATTAAACCACTCAGAGATCCTGTTCTCTTCCTCTCCTCTCATATCCTGCTGAGCCCTTTACAACCCTGGCTCTGTCATGGAAAAAAGCTTTCAGTCCTAAACCTCCCTATTTCCTTGACCTAACCAGAAACTGAACTTCAAAACCTCCTAGATTTAAAGGCACAGATTTCTTGTCTAACTTGGACTAGAGTCCTGATTCTGCCAGTTACTAGCTATGTGTACTTGAACAAATTACTTAACCCCTACAAGACTAATTTTCCACATCTGGAAAAATGAGGATAATAATAGCATCTAGAAAGGCTCTCTGTGAGGAGTAAAACGAGATGATGAAGCCCATGGCACTGGACCTGGCATGTGGTGAAAGCTCAACGAACATGAACCGCTATTACTACAGTGGCATCAATGGGCTCCCCAAGCAGAAGCTTCCCCTAAAAACTTCCCTTTATAAAGGATTGTCCACAGTGAATCTGACAGTCCTATCATGTCTGGATACATTTGGTCTTTTCATAATGAATTGTTTTGTTAGTCAGATATTTATACTTTAAACTTCTTTTGCTTATCTATGTAATACGTCATCTTTAAACCTCCCTTTTATCTTAAAAACAGCTTTTGTGTCTTTCTAAAAACTAATACATGTTCATTACAAAATACTATACTTAGAAAATTCAGACAAGCAAAAAAAAAACCACAAAAAAACAACCCATAATCTAATACCCAGAGATAACCTAAGTCAATATTATAGTACAGAGCCTTTCAATGTTTACATATATACATATTTACCAAAACTGTATCATACTATTTTGTAACCTTCTTTTCACTTAATATATCACAAACACCATCTTGACATGTCATTAACTATTATCCCACAACGTCATTTTAGTGGCTATATAATATAATATAATATGCCCTTGTATGGAAAGATAATAGAAATAATATAAAAATAAATTAGTAATAGCTGATTTTTGTTATTAATTTATAATAGGGTTAATAATGTACAGCACTGTACTAAATACTTAATGTGCAAGGTTTCATTGAATTGTCACAACCCTTTTCTGAGGTACGAACTATGTCTATTATTATTAGCGATGATAAAATTGAGGCTTAAGTCAATGAATTTACCCAAGGTCACAAAGCTATGAAGTGGTGGGACCAGGATATGATTGCAAGTCTTTCTAATTCCAGACTCTATGTTCTTAACCATTAATGTCATTCTGCTTCATGACATAATTAATCCCCCCTGCTTATGGGCAATAACGCTGTTTCCAATTGCAGCCACCATAAGCAGTGAAACAGTAAATATCCCCATGCCGAAACTGTTGAACATATCCATAATCGTTTACATGAGAAAATTTTCTAGAAGAGGAATTGCTAAGTCCAAAGGTGTGACTAGGACAAGGAGAGCAATCCTATGTCATAAACTACACTGACATTTAAAGATAAAAAGTACTGTAGGTCACTAATTAATTCACATCATCATAACCACCAATCATACCGGGTTAACTGCAGAATCAGGATTGATCTGCAGTGTATAGATATCATCTCTTGAATACTGGAAGAGGCCATAGTATGGATTCAACATTTCATGTGACAAGAGATATAACCACTCCCTAGAAAACAAGATATGAAAGGAATTTTCTGTTAACGAATATATTAAGATATGCTATTGATCACTTTAGCAAAGAATTGTGTAAATAAAAGAAAATAAAGCACTGACTAGTTATATAAGATCACACTGGAAAAACCTACCATGCCAAAAAAGCAAATGAAAACTCTTGTTTTGTTTTTATGGAGTCACTTCTCACTCATTTTGGGCACTTTTATGACATGAGCATCAGAGAGCATAAGGTATTATCCAGAAGTACCAACTACTAATTTTTAGATGCTGCAGCCCAGTGGTCTGCTTTTAATTGCTAAATAAATTTGTAATCCATGATAAATATAAAATGAAGGGAAGAATATGGTTTTATTTCAAAACATCCATGTGATCTAAACTATCCTGGTCCACTCATATCATGGCAGATTTATACTAATTAATATAGATATATATATAATATAACATAGCGCTGATTTACTCTCACTTTTGGACAGGGTGTGTTTTGTTGTTGGCATTATTTTAGTAAGAAAATTTCACTATCCATTTCATCATCTTTTTTGTGTAAACCCTAAAATATACCATGATAAAAATGTAAGTGGTCAGAGATTACAAGGTGTTTGGTCTAGGTAGGAACAAGAGGGCAGGCCTGTATTTTTTGGGATATGTTCCATACCATTTCTTGGTTTCAAGTGTACATCAATATTTTTAAAACATCATAATAAATAGTAAAGTATGAAAGATAACTTGTTATTATTCATCTTGGTGAAACTGAAATAAAATCATTAGAAGTTAAGGAGATGCAGTTCTAGTGTCAATTCTTGTCATTCCTCTGCTAGGATAGGTATTTAAATATTTTCTGATAATATGGATTAAATACATTGAATAAATATAACTTTAGAAAATGCAGTGAAACTACTATTAACAAGTAGTTAAAGGAAAATGTTTCAAAGTTCTATAATATGGGAGTCTAACTCAGAACACTACCATTTATGTAATATTTGAAAAACTCGAGATTTTTTTTTTAAAAAGTGAGGTCTCCACATAAGCAACTTTCCCAACACACATAACACTCACCTGACGTGTCTTGTATGCTTTTTATGCATGTGTTTTTTTAAAGAAAACCCAAATTTTTGTTTTGTTTCTACCAAGTATTTAGAACACACATCAAAGCAGAACCCAACTACTTTTGGGTTCTGCTACAGAGCAAAGATGAAAGAAAGCAATTTGCTGCCACATCCCATTTAGTCTGCCCAAACCCTGAGAGTAAGCAGTAAGGTTAAGAAATAAACAACAAAAAACTGACTATTTATTTGGCCTATATATGTAATTATAGCATTCAGACTCCATCAGCAGATAATTAACAAATTTTCCCAAGAAGCATTCAAAAAATCTAGTTATAAATAAATCATAAAAATTTCACAGAAACTATCAAGTCCTAAGTATGATGAACAAGTGCTCAATCCTAAAAATGCAAACTAAAGTAATTATCCATTTGCAAGTAAAATGGTCGCAGAATGAAAATAAGTCTACAGGTGAAAACAAGTAATGCGAAGTTAACAATTATGGGACTTGGTGGGAACACAATTTATACAATTTAATTAAGGCTGGATTTAGATTAGAGGAAGTGGAATTATCACGATGGTCCTTAGAATGTTTCAATACAGAGATACAATGTTTCTGCTACATTTACATAAAGTGAATTTCTACACCTGGAAAAATATAAAATACTTTATGTATGAATATAACATAAGGACCATTTATGATACACACACACACACACACACACACACACACACACACACACACCTTTAATAAGGTTAAAAAGCATGGCAATAAAAGCAAAGGGAAACAATTCAGTTTAGAATATATGTTATTAAAGTCTCAAAATTGTTCCTGACAATGTAATGCAGCACGAATAAGATGTACTAATGGAGGGAGATGAAGAAAACATGGGGCCTGCAGGTCTTACCGACAGTCCACGTGGGGTTGCAGCTAGTTTTCAGAAGAAGTCTCACTGGGCTATATGATCAATGAGGGAGCTCTTAAATACTCATCTTCTGATAGCAGTACTATCCTAACTCATTATGAATCTATCTAGTAGAATATCCTCTTATTGCAAGCATTAGGGAATATTATACTAGAAAATAAATATCAACGACAAGATTATACACCAGAAAGTATCTTAAATTTGTAAATGTAAGGACCCATATGTCATTTCCTGACAAGCAAGTCTTTACCTGGCAACCCCTCCATAGTCAAGACCTTCTTCTCCACGAAATTTTATCATTAGTCGCTTCCAGAGATCTTTTGGTCTCATTTTCATGACCTGTCGATATGATTCCTGAAAAAAATGTTAATATACTATAATTACTAGGTGCTTTTAACCTGTCATTTAAACACTCTCCCCCATTCCATCTACAAAACACACATTTATTTAAATAAGGTGAAATTTGCTCAACAATCAAATCAGTGGATAAACTCCAAGTGTTTGCAACCTCTTAGAACTTCTAAAAACAAAATGAATGTAGCTTAATACTACTGAAACCAATTCATTTGATAAATGTTATATTAAAAGCCTACTAAGTACAAAACTCCATATTGTTCTATGAACCACAGCAATGATTCCACTCACTTTCAAAACAGAACTTGATAGACGTACCAATTTTTTTTTTTTTTTCAGCTGAGCCATCCTGCCACCTCAGAGGCAGCTCAGCTCAGGCCAGGATTTGAACCGGGGACCCTGTTGCTCAGAACTCGCACTCTTGAGCGAGCTCTTAACCAACTGAGCCACTCGGATGGCCCCATACCAATGTTTTTTAAGTTGGTTGACCTAATTCTAGGTCATAAGCACCAGTAGAAAATAAAGGTAAGAAAAATAAAGTCCCAAAAGAACGTAAGTAATCATTAGTGTAGTCTTTACCAAATCAAAGTGTTACATTATTTTAAAATACAAATGACTGACTACAAACTTGGTCAGAGCTGTTCTGAGAGAAAAAAATTCATTCTTTGGGAAAAGGATTATCAAGTCCCCAAACATCTCTCGCCCAGCAATCCTCTAATGAGTAGGAAACCCTGGCCTTGGAACTCTGCCACTAATTATGTAAGAACTTTGAAGTTGATATTAGGGCTGTAAAATCCAAAGATAAAAGAATATACTAGAAAGGAAGATCTTTCAATAAATTATGGAAGTAGTTCAATTATAATTAAACAAAATGATCTTTTGATTTAAGAGTCCCTTACCTTTTGGAAGACTTAGAAGGTAAAAGATGGATAATACTTGGGGTCTTTTAAAACTCAGTAACAAATAAGTATGTGCAATGCAGAGGCCAGGCTGAACCAACTGGAATAGCTCACACTCTTCATCCCCTTTAAATGTTTCTCTTACATGTTAAATCTCTCCAATAGAACTTGCCTGTATTCCCCACGATTAAAAAAGAAATAATGAAAACTCTCCCATTCTAAAGAGATATGAGTCCTAAAAAGCATTTTTGCAAAACAGAGAGAACACTGAAATTTAATTTTTCTGTATTTTGAAATAAGACTTATAAGTTTACCTCAAAAATCTCTTCCCTGGAAACCTCAATGCGGCAATGGCCAGCCTGAGGCTGTTGTTGGGAAAGTTCTTGCCGCAAAATTTTTAGTTTCTGAACCAGGTCTCGCTTATACCGGGGGACTGTCAGACACTCTGTGTCATCGGGGCATAACGACACTACTTGCTGTTGCTGTTGGTCTTTCAATTGGTTCTGCCGACTAGAAGTAAACAAAAATGTTATTAAAGCACTTAACATTAAAAAGACTGCATTATACATTTCAAATAGCATCATATTATAAACAAGTCTAGAGATATCATTTCAGGACCTTACTGTATTTTTGGCTTGTCATTTTTGACAACGATAAAGTAGGTCCAAAGTTCACTTCTCAGAATCCATATGAATTTAAGGAATTGAAAAAAGTTTTATCCAGGAAGCTTTCTACAGCTGCTGAGAACAAATTTCTCAAATACCGTTTCCATTTTCTTCTGCATAGTTTACCATCACCCACTTTAAAATCCAGGCGTATGCCAAGCCCTGTGCCTGTTATCTAGAGTCTGTCTCTCTGGAAAAGACAAACAGTTTGAACTGGCAGCTTGGCAGGGACCCCTTCTTCTATACACGCTCCAGTCTAGACCACAAGAATGCGGGAGGTCACATGTAAGTTACTGGCACAAAGAAATGAGCACTGTACAGACAAGTCTAAATGCTTTATACAGTGACTACTTTTCTTTTTATTGTGGGAAAATATACATAACATAAAATTTATCATTTTCAGCATTTTTTAAGTATATAGTCAGTGTGGCATTAAGGACATTCACACAGTTGTGCTAAAGTGATTTCAAACTGCACAAATATGGATTACGAAAAATACATGAAAATAATCTCCCAAGTACAGCAGAAATGTAATTTTTTAAAAGCAAGTTGCCTAAAGATATTTTTGTTCTCCTAGCAAAAACATAAGTTGCATCTAAGAATTTTTTTAAAGAACCTTATGATATAATGAACTAGTTAATTCCAACAAATTGTCAGGAAATAAGAAGTCCAATAATTCGCTACGGATGTCTATGCAGACACTGAGTGATTCAACTGGAGTTTAATTTTGCCCACAACTGACAAGAGCACAATCTCCTAGCTTAACGGTCAAGGGCAATGGTAGCTATGATAAAATAAACAAAAATGCTCTCAATTCTCTCATAAATGTATACCCAAACTTATTTTACATACAATGGTGGTTCTTAGGGACCAGGCCAAATTTTATACCTAAAACATGTAACTATCCAGAGAAAATGTATCTTTGATGAAAATTACAAATCACTATTTACTACTCTTACAAACATCATAGTAAAGGTGTTTTTATACACATATATAAACAAAATCAAAACAGAATATATTAAAAGATATTCCTCAAACAACTGCATTCATCCTACGCAAAAACAAACAAACAAACAAAAAACTTGAGTATATCTTATACTAGACAGAAAATTTTAACTCAAAATGGATCAGGGACCTCAATGTAAAATCTAAAGCCATAAAACTTCTGAAACACAGAAGGAAATTTTTATGACTTGAGTTAGGCAAAGGTTTCTTAGATATAACACCAAAAGCATAATCCATAAAAGAAACAATGGATAACTGAACTTCATCAGAATTTTAAAGAAAAATATTTTCTTTGAAACCTCTTCAAAAGACACTTAAGAAAATGAAAAGAAGTCACAGACTAAGTGAAAAACCTTTCCAAAGCATATAATATAGGACTTGTATCACAAGTATCTAAAGAACTCTCAAAACTAAAAAAAAAAAAAAAAAATCTCGTTTTTAAAAGAGGGCAAAAAACTTCACCAAAGAAGACATACAGATGGCAAAACGCACATAAAAGCTCCACATCATCAGTCAGTCATGAGAGAAATGCAAATTTAAACTATAATGAGGAACCACTATACATCTATTCAAATGTTTAAAATTAATAAGATTAACCATACCAAGTGTTAGCAAGGGTGTGAAGCAACCACAACTTTCACGCACTGCTGATGGGAACGTGAAATGGGAACAATCACTTCGAAAAACAATTTGGCAGTTTTTTTAAAGTTAAACACAAATCTAGCCTATAACGCAGCCGTTCTACTTCTAGGTATTTATTTACCCAAGAGAAGTGAGACCATATGTCCATACAATGATTTATACATAAATGTTCGTAAGAATTGTATTTGTCAGAATCAAAAACTGGAAACAATCCAAATATCCACCAACAGGTAGATGGATGAATAAATTGTGGTATACCCATGCAATGGAATACCACCCAGGAATGAAATAATCTATAATGTAACAACAGAGATGAATCTCAAATAATTATGCCGGGTAAAAGAAACCAAACAAAGAGTGCGCATCGTATGAATCCATTTATCTAAAACTCTAGAAAATGCAAACGAGCGTATAGTGACAGAGCAGATCAGTGGTTGGCTGAAGATGGGGTATACTGTGGTTTGAATTGTGTGCACAAAGATATACTGAAGTCCTAACCCTTGGTACCTGTGAATGTGACCTCATTTGGAAACAGGGTCCTTGCAGATGTAATCAAGTTAAATGAGGTCATAAAGAAGAGGGAAATTTGGATCCAACAGGAAAGAAGGTGCGGCATAGTGAGAAATACACTTTGGTCTTTGTCCCTGGTTCCTGATACAAAACTCCTCAAATCCTTGAAATTTCCCAGGTGACAGAGGTAATAGGAGTGTCTTTTGTTCTAATGTTTGGTCTTCGTCCTCAGTTCCAGACACAGAGCTCCTAAATCCTTTAGAATTTCCTGGGCATAGGAGCTTTTCTGTTTTCAATGAGGTGACTCTTGATGAGCTCCTAGGTAGCTTCAGGATCGGGGCTGGTCGCTAGAAAGACCAAGGCTTGATTAGAAGCCTGGAACTTCCAGCCCCCTTGCCCAGCCTCTGGGGACAGAAGAGAAGCTGGAGGTTGAGTCAATAATTGAGCATGCCTATGTGATGACATCTCCCTAAGAACCCCTAAACAGTGTTCAGAGAGCTAGCTGCCAGGTTGGTGAACACACTGAGGGTGAAGCAGCCTGAGAGGGCATGGCAGCTCTGTGCCCGTCCATTGCCGTTCCTGGCCCCGTGCCTCTCTTCCTTTGGGCTGTTCCTGAGTTGTATCTTTTGTAATAAACTGGTAATAGTAAATAAAGTATTTCCCTGGCTCTGTGAGCCATTCTAGCAAATCACGGAACCCAAGGAGGGAGTCATGGGAAATCCCCAATTTATAGCCAGTCAGTAAGAACTGGGACTTGCGAAGACATCTAAAGTGTAGACAGTCTTGTGGGACTTAACCTGTGGAATCTGACACTAACTGCATAATTATTGTCAGAGCTGAATTTAACCACTGTACACCTCGTTGGTGTCTGGAGACTTGGAGAACTGGTAGGATCGAGGGGAAAGCCCACACATTTGGTGTCATACGTTTTGTGGGTAGAAACAGATCATAGAAGGCCATGTGAAGAAAAGGTTGGGATGATGTCTCTACAAGCCAAGATTTCTGGCAACCACCGAAAGCTAAGTGAGAGGCAAGGAGCCGAGTCCCCTTCAGAGCCTCCAGAAGGAACCAACCCTTGCTGGCAACTTGATTCTGAGCTTCTGGCCTCCAGAACTGTGAGAGAATGAATCAGTTGTTTTAAACCACCCAGTGTGTGATATTTGTTACAGCAACCTAGGAAACTAGGACAGGTGGAAGGCCCATGAGAAGGGATAGAAGAATTACAAAGAGGCATGAAAAAACTTCTGAGGGTGACGGACACGTTCACCATCTTCGCTGTGGTGACGGTTTCTGGGGTGTATAATAGATCAAAACTTCAAATGTACACTTTAAATATGCACAGCTAACTGTATGTGAATTACATTTCAATAAAGCTGATTTTTTTTAAACCAGCATACATCAAGCTCATTCACAAAGACTTGTATGAAAGACTAAGTCCTGTAAATGGCTTAAAGCGAAAAGACAAAACTGACATAGCAAAAAATGCTCTGGGATGGACTCGGCTATCTCTGATGCACCCATGGGGAAAAATCCATCTAACCCCATAAAGCAGCCTGTCTCCAAGGTGTGCCAGGGTGTACCTTTGATACATACCCTTTCTTAACATTTCAGGACAGGTTCTTACTTAAGCACAGTGGGATTAAAATACTCACATATCAGAGTTAAACTTGTCATGCTCTTATATAAAATTCTGTTCAACAAAAGTAATTTATAATTGAAGAGAGCCAGACATTCTACCACATTTATTACAAAAAGCATCACCAGTCTTCTCTTGTTCAGACTCGCATTTTAACACGTATTGTTTCAAAAACTTACTTTAAAACTAAATGCAAGTTAGCAGAGAGCCGAGGATCTGTAAATTGTGTTGTTCTGTTGTTATGGTCAACGAAATAAACTCTGCCTGTTGCCGTATTACGGATCTCCCATCCAGGAGGCAATGGACCAAGCTCTTCACAATTGATGTTGCTAAGATCCCTGCAAAAACAAATATAAAATAAAAAATACCTCATTGCTGGGACTGCTAGGCCAAGCAAGTGTAAATGACACAGAACAATTCCATGAAGTCTGAGAAAATGTATTGTTTCAGAAACTTGAGATGTTCAGCTGGAATCTTTAATTCCCAATGGTTTAACAAACTTGCATATTCAAAACCCAATCCATAAATGGCTCAGAAACTTATCACATAGCCTACATTTTTAGAAAGTTTGTTCCTGGGCTTTAATGTAATACAGATTTTAAATTAATATAAAAGCAATCACAACATTTGCCAATATAAACTGTACTTCAATACTTATCTGACAAAATATTATTTTACAAATGCCAGTGATATAAGGAATTGAATGTTTTTTAAAATTTCTCTTCAATTATTTCATTACATCATAAAATTTGTGTAAATAAATATTCATTCTATGATTAATTTTAAGCTCTTCAACAAAGCAAAACTGGAAATGCTATTGAATTTTATGACCCTGAAAATAACCACAGTATATATTTTAAAGGATAACGTCTTCATTTTGAATTTTGAAAGGTGTAAAGCTAGTGAATGAACCTGTTTAAGACATCTAAGGAAGACTACTCTTAAAGACTTACTGCTACAATATAAAAAAAGCAAAAAAGACTTTTAATGGACTGAAGACCATTGATCATGCATTCTTAAAATACTATTATATAGAGCCAAAGATTTATAGGACCTTAAAGAATGACATAAAAGCAGTATGTCTAATGCAAACTTATACTGTTAACAGATAATTATAATAATAAATTTCATCAAAAGCATGTTTTAAAAGTTAAACTAGAAAAAGATTTTTCATGAAATAATCTATTCTTGGTCATAATAAAACACAATGATGGGCACCTATAAGCACCCATAGATTTGCTGAAACAATAATTTTGAGTTCTGCTTATAGATGTTCCAAGAGACTCTTCTGCTACAGAGCAACTAAAGCTTGGAAAGAGCACATTATTTGAGACACTGCTAGCCTCATAAGAGACAAGAGGGAAAGTTCCAAGAAGCTTCTCAAATTAAAAAAAAAAAAAAAAAGTGAATTGAGCTGGAGCTGGTACCTGAGTGGCAGGCGGGCAGGCAGAGGGGTAGGGTTGTGGGTGAGTAGCTGTTAGTTGGGAAACAGCCTCAGGCCAGCAGCAAGGTTGGAAAATGAAATCTGAAACTTCCTCCCTACACAGAGAACTCAAAGAGAGGATGAAGTGATTCAGGAAAACTTCCTAAATTCCCATTTTGGTCCACAGAACTCACCCAATTAAGATCAAACAAACTCACAAAGATCACCCAACACCTCAGAAAGAAGTCATGAAGACTGAGAGTCAGTGGAAACAATAAACCACAGAATTAGATCCCCAAGTACTGTCAGAGATCAAACAGAGAGAACAGCTATGAGATGCAACATGAAAAAAAAATAAAAGGGAACAATTACAAAGGCAAGCTATCAATGAGAGAGTAAGAATAAACAGATGGATTTTAAAAAATAGAGCTTTTAGAAATGAAAAACAAATACTGAAATCAAAGGATAATTCTTTGGATATAATGCAGAACTTGATTTTATATCATTTTATTTAGAATTTTATAAATCTATAGTCATACATGGGAGAGCTCTACAGAATTGATTAAAAGAGCAGAACTCTGGAAACAATCTTTATTTCCAATTAGGAAATGACTGAAGAAAAATGGAATGTTATACAGCCATAAAAAGTAGTACAGATCTGTATTTCAAGGCTACATAGTCAGTATGCAATGTAACGAATAACAAGGCATTAATCATTGTTTTTTTTTTTTTGGTGTGTTTTTTTATTCATTAATCACTGCTTTAACGAGATCTGTACAACTTGATGAAATGAGACTTCTCAGATAAACCTAAGTTTACTGGGTATCTTTAAATAAAATTCAAGAGTCTGAGTTACACTATCTTATAAATAAATATATTTAATTAGTGATATTTTAATAGAATCTAAATATTTATAGTCTGCTATGATAAATGATCCTCCACACAAAAGGTATATTTACTAAAGGATATCCTCCAAAAAACAAAAGATATGATGATATATGATGATATGAAGATATGATTTTTAAGATAACAATTTGGGGCATAGAAACTAAAGAGAAGAAAAATAATCCAGAGCATAACTTCACAGTCATTATTCAATATGCAACATGAAATATTCTTAAACCTTTATAAACATCACTAATTCATTAATGAAAAACTGACATGTTTCCTGAGGAATAAGAACATATTACCAACAGTGGTGCCAAAATCTCTCTCAATTTCAACTTCTGATGCCAGCTTGCATATTATTCTTTCAACAGATAACTCAGGTTCCACTTCTTCACTATTATAAATCATTTAGTTTTAAAAAATCATTTTCTTCTATGCATTTCCTTCTAATGACTTTAAATTATTTTCTGAAAAAGCTCATCATTGACCCTCAATTGAATAAACAGAATCCAAAACACTTCTTCTCATAATTTACATAAAAATCTTGTTTCTAAAAGTTAGGCCCTTGGATTTTTTTTCAGTGAGCTTATTAATAAAACAAAAATTTCCTCCCCACTACTTCTTTTAAACTAACAGCTTACATTACCAAGACACAGAAATGGCAACCTTGATACAATAATTAATGATTGCATATTTCTTTGGTTGCCACCCTCAAAAGATTCTAATTAAGCTCTATGACAAAGTAAAACATTTTCATTATAATAGCTTTATTTATAAATAAAAGAGTATCAAAGCAATCCAAGACCAGCTAGCCACATCTGGTTTTGATTCAAATCCATGATTCTTGACAAGCAGAGCTCTGAGTATAAGCTTTAGGCAGAAAAAGATCTCAGGTAAATGCACTCAACAGTGCCTGCAATTCTAATGTGTAAGTTTTGGCATTTGATAGAAATTTAATTTAATTAGGTTATTTCTTTTCTACATTAAAATGCAACTTTATTAAGGAACATATAAAAGAATATTGAATGCACTTATATGAGGTTAAAATAAACCTTTAAAAAAAAAAAGCCTAACCAGAAATAAAAATATCAATTTACTACCCTTTAAAAAGGGATATGTACGTTTTTTTCCCCAGGTCAATTTTCCAACTCCTAAAAGACCCATGTTTTTGCCCAGATTTTTTTTAAGGAGGAGAAGGACTGGGGACTCGTTGCGGGTAGGATTGCAGAGAAATGGGTAGGACTTTCTATTAAATGTCAAAGTGAAATGATTATTAGAAAGAGTCAGACTTTTACATGAACTATTTTAAGAAGTTAACGATTCGATAATCAAATAAATTCTAGGTAAAATGGATATTCAATTATATGAAGAGTATTTAGAATATGTTCTTACCTAGGCACTCTTGGATCATGCCATGTGCTCACACCAGTCTGAGTATGTAAGAAATACACCTGACCTTGTTGAGTTGTCCTCTGTTCTGTAAAATTAAGAAACACTAACAATAAAAACATATTCAGAATGTCCAAATCAGACAGCTATAGACACTAGAATATTATATTAATAAGTAAGTTATCTAAATTACCAATCTACTTTACAAATCATTTGTTGTGAACTCAAGAGTACATTTTCTCCTGGAAACAATCTTACAGTGAAGAGGATCACAGGCCAGCTATCTAAAAGCCAACTATACTTACAATGTGGCTTAAAATACTAAGCATGTTGAAATGCAAAATGGAAGACAAGATTGTGACAGTACCAATAATTAAACAAAACAAACATGAAGTAATGATCTTTTTATTTGTCTTAAATGTGGAGCCTGAGGGGAACAAAAGAAGGCTCAGAGGAAGAGGCTAACCAACTTTGGGGAGATCTTGAGGGGACTTGCAGAAAACTTCCAAAGGGTTTGCCGGTTGGTAATGCTTTTTTATTATGCCTAATTTTATACAAAACTTATGTGTTTTTTCTCTTCTTGAGAGAGGTTATTCTCAAGAGTACATTTGGACTTAAACAGAAGCAAAAAAGATGAAATACAGAAGAGACATCCTATAGTCAAAAATAGGCAAAGATGGAAAAATAACCAAGTTAGAAAGCGGGAGACTAAAGAGCAAGTGTGCATACTGGGGAGAAAAAAGTTAAAGATGACAGTAACTCAAAACCCTTGGGAAAAGAGAGGAAGCCAAAGCAAAGAGGGGAATCTGTGAAAAAGGTGGTTTTTAGTCTTTACTTATTTATGTTTTTAAGCAACAGAACTTTTCTTTAAACCAAATTTAATGAAAAATTCCAACATATAAAATGATAAAAGTTATTGCTAATATTTATTAGTATAAACTTAATTTGTTTATAAACCTATAAAAATCAATCAATTTAAACCTGAAACTTTTAAAAATTACAATAAAAAATGTTTAAAATTGGTTAGAGACAACAGCTACAAAAATTTCAGCCTTGGTACCCCCTTTACTCCTATGTTTTGGCTGGATTAAAAAATTTTTAATCTATATCACAGAAATATTATAAAAGTATAACCACCCCCACTCCAAACAGCTTGCCTTATAATCAATCTCAAAGAAAAATGGCAGGAGATAACTTGATTCTGAGGTCTGAACATTAAAATAACAGCCAAAATTTACTAAGTGCTTTCTATGCCAGACAGTGTCAGGCACTCACATGAAATTATCATTTATATTTTGCAACAAAATTTGCACGGTTGGTACTATTATTGGGTTGTTAGAAAATTCATGATGCATTTTTGCAACGAAAAACATAGAAAAAATACGTCATGACTTTTCCGACAACCCAATGTTTTCCCCATTTTATAGAAGATAAAATTGAGGTTCAGAGAGGTAAACAATGTGCCCAGTGTCACACAAGTAATATGTGGCAAAATCAGGATATGAACCCAGGTCTGTCTCCCAAGTCCACGCTCTAATCACTAAGCACAGTTAATGGACAAATTGTTTTTTTTTTAATTAAATAAAGAGTCAAAATATATTTTAAAATAAAGTTAAAATCACGCATTTGCAGAACAATTTAAAAAATATTCTAGGGCAAAAATAAAATACAAGTTAGATCAGATGATTCCCAATGCTGGTCATTAGGTGTCACCATCAGCCCAGGATAGCTGATCTACAGGGGGTTGAGAGGGCAAGGATGTCAGTAACTTGGCTAGTTTTCAGCAAGAAAGGAGAGGACAGTCGAGTTTATACTACCTACATTTATATTATCTACAAGAGAGTTCGCAAGTTGAGATTAATTTAGAAAGTTCTGTATTCAACTAGAAGATTCATGTCATCTTCTACTTGAAATTCTACAATTTAGGAAATTACATTAAGATTGTAATAATTTTATACAAACAGAAGTGACTAAATCATTTACAATTACCCAATCACTCAGATAACCCAAAATTATGGACAATACAAATATAATATATAAATACCATCATAAATATGCTTTTGAAATTATCTCTATGTATGTTTAGAAAATGACATTTCAGGCCTGACTTCAGATTACCATTATCAATAACAATACCACCTTACCTTCATACAGTGCCTATTTACAAAGAAGTCTCATATGCTCCTCACAATACTTTTGTGATAAGGAAAGGTATCATTCATCTTATGTCATTATAAAAGAGCAAAAAGGCTGAGGTTAAATGACTAGCCCAGGGTCAAACGGTTGGGTAGGTAGTCTTCTACCACTTCAAAGACTTTTCAAAGTTGGGGTGTTTCACATTTACTTTTATTTTCATGCAGTATTCCTAAACCCAGATTAGTAACTTCTTTAAAGGTTGATTTTCCGGCTTCCTTAGCAAGCTGAAATCAGTAAAGCACACTTTTATTTGTCCTCTGCCAGTTGTCATACCATAGCCTTCTGGTAGGTCTGGAGGAGTATGTAAATGCGTCCTGCTCATGTAATTTCTATGTCGTTGTGACCTGACTCTCCTCTCTGCCAGCCTGGGATCTGAGGACTGTCCACATGTTGCACCATTTGTTCCGCTAATTGGAGTGTTCTCATCAACAAAGCAGCTAAGAGGTCTGCCAGGACTGGAATATTCAGATGCCGGTCTATTAAAAAGGAACAGGAAAAAAAAGTTATTACTCAACTCGAATATCAAAAGTAGAGTTCCCCAGGTAAGGTATGTACTGCAGTAATAATCGTTTCTAAGAAAATGGAATAATACAAATACAATGATTTCAAGAACTCTAAATAAAAGCCTGAAGCCTCTAAACACAAAGAAACTCAAGTGATAAGCAGAATTGTCAGTTATGTCTTTAAATCATTTAATATTGACTTTAATCACATTTTACATGAAATCCACATATAACTGTAGATGTGAGTAGTAGCTTACAAAGCACTACTTGACTCAGCTTTGGCCTACCTGTCAGACGTGACTCCCCACCATTCTCCCACTCTGCTTCTGCACACTGACATCCTCCCTGTCCTTTGAACTTGCCATGGTCACTCTACCTTTAGTGCTGGAGAGCTCTTCCTTCCACCCAGAATGCTTTTAACTCCTATTTTCCCTAAGCCAGGTTCCTTTTCTTGTCACTGAAATCATAGCCTCTAAGAGGGCCGTCCTGGCCTTTGAATCTAAAGTAGTCACCCAGGCATTTGATAGTACATCACCTCATTTCCTCAGCATCGCAATTATTTCTGATATTTTTCTTATTTGCATCCTTGTCTTTCTCTTCCAGCACTACAATATTTATTGAGAGAAGAGAGTGCCTAGTTTGTTCCCCACTATATATTATATATCCCACCTAGAATAGGGCTTGGCATATATATGAGTCACTCAACAAATATTTATTGAATGAAATAAGGAAGAAAGATAGTTTGCCTCTTCAAAGAGCTCCCAGCCAATTGTGGGTCATCCAAAATAAGAGGATTAATCAAGAGTTAATTTTTAAACGAACATTTACAACACAATCAATTTTATACATGTGAAAATTAAACTCAACTTTATCAGTTAAATGAATTAGAAAGAAATGAATTTCACTAAAACACTGACACAAGTACATTTACACTCATTTACATTCAGATACAGAAAAAATGCGCTCTTTGACTTCAATAAAATCCTTGGCAGTTTAATACTAGAAATGCAACTCTCAAATAAGCATTTTTAGAAATGGCAACATGAGCTGAGCTTTTACCTGAGAATCACAATAGAAAAAACTTTGTGATTCACTGTTAAGCAATTAAGCTCTAGTAAATAAAAGAACATATAGCTAATGAGAAGCATTTGATGTTCTCTGTCTGGTGCCAGTCCTGCTCAGGAAAAAAAAAAGGGTGGGGAGGGTAAAACAAACACTGAGTAGAGGTGGCAATAAACTTTGTTCTTACTTAAAAAAAAAAAAAAATCAGCCACTTATCCTATTCATTTTGTTACTCATAAAGCACTTCCTTGGCGTTTCCCAAAATTGTCTTGCATCCCTATGTTTTTTATACATTAAACTCCATGAAGGTCTTCCCGCCTTGTTCAATGAATGTTACAGCCCAAAGGCTGAGCGCAGTGCCTGGCATATAACCATCCGCTGAACTGAATGATTGCTATGACCACTATCCTGAATGTTTTTCATCACGTTCCCCTTACCTGGCTAAATCCTAACATTTTTCAGGATTTATTTCAGAGATTCCTCTCCTTCAGAGTTTTTCTATTCAAGTTCCACCATCCCCTTCCCCCCAACTCTAAGTTAGGTGCCCCTCCATATGGTTTCAGAGCATTTGGGTTCTTATCTTGATTACAGACATTATCAGATGTAATATAATGTAATCATGCCCCTACATGACTAAACAAATGCAGATCCTGCATATATATTTTGTTACAGCCATTCAATAATGGACTCAAAAAAACCTTTTTTTTTGGAATTCCAGAAATAAGGTGACTTCTCAATTTATTCATTTAACTCATTTAATAAATATTTATTGAGTACCATCGCAGACCCTGCAGCTACAATAACAGGATAACCTGCTAAATAATCTTTAACGAAAATTACTTTTTAAAAGGAATAATGGCACTTGCTATAACATCTACTGATCTATAACAGTATAAACCAAGACAGGAAATCCAGCAAAGCTGAGAGTTAAACAGAAAGAAACGACTTTAGGAAGGTCAACAGCATAGACCATGGACAGATATTTGTATATTCTTACCGTGTAGGGCGTTCCCACTGAGTAGTTCTTGTTATGTGGTTTAGATACTGGATTCTTCCAGAGGCAGTTCTCCTTTCTTCCCAGCTTAAATAAAAACATTGAGAGACATGGTATTAATAGGAAGCTGGACAGAATGTTTTTAGTGTAATAAACAAGCCAGGAAGGCATCTGCTAGTATGAATCAAGAATGACAAACTGTAAGATCAATACAGAGAACGGAGGAATTTATTAACTTATTTTAAAACTGTGCAATATATCTTCTGGAATTCTGAAGCTTCTGTTATTTACACTGAGGTGTGACTAATATTTTCCATCAGCCAAACTCTGAGAATTTTTCAATAATGTCAACAATGCCCCATTAAATTACACGAATTTCTCCAGAATTTAGTGGAAAGAAAAGGCCACACTAAAAATAAAAATCACACAATTTTTAAAAATTAAACTAGAAAAGTATATAAAAGCTTTTTAAAGTATTTAGCCTACTCAAACTAATTTTTTAAAAAGCAAGAATGTCACTTCTTCCTCAGCATCTTATTAATTCATGTAACAAAAAAATAGGCAAACGACTATAGAAATGTAATAATGTTAATATTTCCACTAAAACACTGGCAGAGGTTTAGAGGCCTTAAAAAATAGAAAATAAAGAGATACTAAGAGGTTTCTCTCCCCTGTGATTACAAGTATAGTACAATAATGTAGAGCAAGTTTAGATTAAGCCTTACATTGTTGTAATCTCTCAATATTGGTTAGATATTTCATTTTAAACTTCCCCTTCAAAAAGTACCAAATCTACCTTACATGCTTAAAAGTTAACCGAAATATCAACAATGCTAAAATGATTTATAAACAGACTTACATTACAATGAATTTTAATAGTTTAAGCAAAATAAGCCAATACCACAGGCTGGATGTAAAATTTAAAATAATGTCAAAAATAATTTCAGTAAAAACTCAACCAACTATATACTTCAAATGGATAAATTTATTGCATGTAAACTATACCTCATTGAAGTTAATTAAAAATACTTTGAAAGTTAAAAATAAAATCAGAAAAGTGTCAGAACTAGTACTAAAGATAGAGAGGATAGTGATAAAAACAGCATGAGCTTTGGAATTCCAGTTCTTTATGTTCCAGCTCTGCCATTTACCAGGTGGTCCTCAGCAAGTTACTTAATTTTTTGAGTCTCAGTTCTTTTAATCTTTGAAACGAATGAGGGTAACAAGGATAACAATAGTCGTAGAAGTAGTAATAATAAGAACTAATTATTTATTAAGCACTTACTACATGCAAGACATTGTGCTAAGTGCTTTACATGAATGATTTCATTTAATCCTCACAATTTATGGCATATGCACATGTACTATTATCATCATTATCCTTTTATAAACCAATATAAACCAATGCTTACAGAAGTTAAACAGATTGATTAAATTCATAAGCTAGTAAGCAGAAGACTAAGGACTGGAACCCAGCTAGTCTAATTCCAGAATCATATGCTATGAGAATTAAATGATATAAATGTATCATATAAAGTGCTTACAACAGTATCTGACACTGCATGCTCAATCAATGTTACTATGTTATTATAATTACTATTACATTATCACAGAAATTCTCTGTGCTATTCCTCTACATAGAGCAATTTCTCAGATTCAGCATTTATATGCCCGGTTTTGAATAATTTAATCAAACAAAAAAGGTTTTCTTTTAAATATATAGTATTTACAGGAGTTATATTTTCCAAGAAAACTGATTTGTATCCTAGCCAAAACTCTTAAAAACTAAACATCTAATTCATGGCTTGCTTTATAAATTTGCTGTGACAAGCAAAATCCCTTATTGATTTTCCAAGTACAAGGAAAATCTAGATTGTGGACTTGGTCAGCAAATTTTTAAAGTTAAGTATACAATAATCACCAACTGATTTCTCATTATTTTAAGGATATTATCTACTTATTTCTCTAGTGATTTTAGCTTACCCATCTGGTAAATCATTATCAAATAAACGACTGCAGTCCACAACTTGTCCTCCTGTGCCTATTCGGTCTCTGGACTGAAGACTTACTATTAAACAACAAAAACATTACTAAGAGTCATAGAACTAGAAAGAATTATTACAGTTTAAAATACATACCTTTAAAAGACATCAGGCTTAGCTTATTTTAATATTTTAGAATGAACTCGTTAGTTTCTACTAAATTCTGTAATTTCTTTTCCCATAAGCTTTTTTTCCTTTAGGGGTAATATGAGAATTTTAAGGTTTCTTACACTTTATCATGTTCATGGAAGTGTCTAATTACTTTTTTCCCATAGTAATGGGCAATGCAAAGCCACTACTGCATTTAAGAAGAGGCATAACACATGAACAGTATATTCATGTATAGGAATTTGAAAAGTTCACATTAATTTTGGTTTAATTCTTGACCCATCTTTAAAAACAATACAACACTAGATTCTGACAATAGGGCGACACTTCAAGTCCCTGAGTTAAAACAATACATCACCATCCAGTGTAGTATAAAACTACCGCTATAAACTTGGTAGCAAGAGATGTGAATGCTAAACGAGGCTATACCAACTAGTTTAGCACTGTTACCTTGAACAAAACACTTAAATTTCTTGAGGTTGAGATAATCCCAATCTGAATAATGTGGAAATTAGGGTAAATGATGTGCCTGAAGTCCTTGCTGCTCTATTATTCTTTAATTCCATCTTTGGCAACTCTCCCAAAACACAGAAGAGGTATAGGAAACCCTGACTGTAGCTCAACTTCTTAAAGAATATGACACAAAGTATGATATCGTAAGACCCTTCATTCTAGGGAGGGTCTCAAAATTCTGAAACCTTCCAGCTCTGTAAAAATTTTGAAAAATCAGAAAGTTCAACACATTGTTCCTTTATATAAATTCCATTTACAGGAGACAACACTGTAACAAACCTTCTCAGTGAATGTATTCGTTATTGTGAAAATTATACTAGAAAACTATATCAATCAGTTTTTATACAGAAAGGCTAAGTGAAATGCCTACCAAAATACAATCACAGCAGAAACAATGTATTTTCTCATTAGCTTTGTTTAGAATAACATTAAGAATCACAGCTAAAGGGTTTCACGAGCTTCAATGTCCATCTCCAGAATTCTATATTACAAAACACCTAAGCAATTTTTAGATGTGGTTGTTTTTTAAATAGTCTAATTCTAGCAATATGCAAAATGAATCATAGAAATACTGTTTATTAGAGCACAGTTCACAATATTAAAACATCAGAAACAACCTAAATATCCAACAAGGCACTGGTTAAATTAATTATGTGCCCACATGGACTACCATACAACATTAAAAATACTACAGAAACGTATCCTTAAAGGAGCCCATCTCAGTGTCCTACCACGATATGTATCTTGATCACACATTTTAAAGTAAAACGTTCTTTTTTTACATAGTATATACACTCCAATAGGTATATGTCTAACCACTGACAAAAGTCTGCTATTTTTATAAATGCAAATTTACACCTAGTAAAACTACTTTGTTACTAGACATTAGTTGGCAAACATTACATATCAAATCAAATAAAGTAGGGACAATTACAGTTAAAAGTCTGTATGCCAGGATTTATTTTTGAGTTTTTACTCTCTTCTTAATCTAAGAATGATGGGAATTATCAACATTGCTGTAGATACTTCCCTATGATAACCGCAGTAGGGCTTTGCTATGCTGCTACTCTGGCAGTTCCCGAACTATGAAACCAATTCATTGCCTTGTAAAAGGAAGCCCTTCGAGTACCTTCAGTAACTAAAACCTCTCTAGAAGTTTCATCATGCAATCATCTTATTCTAAATTCTGCTCTGTAATGAAGCAGTAAGAGTCCAATGGCATCTTTCTTCTGTCTTAGTGCTCTACTGTATTCGTATACTTTAAATAAATTCCTTCCTAAATGATCAGTAACTCTTCAAATATTAGGAGCCTTTATTTTTTTTAATTATTTATAGTTTGCTGTTTTTAATTAAGTTAGCATGGATCCTGAATCCACTGTTCAAAACACTTTACATGACTCATTTAATTCATGCCAATACAATGAAATGACAGTTGTACTTTGATTTAAAAGGTATTTAGAGCATAGGTCAGCTTGAATGAAGCCAAAATGTATGTAATTTTAAGTTCCACACTTACCTACTATCTGTCCTCTAACTGTATCATTGTCATTTGGCCCAAGTTTGCATAGATCCAACCTCTGATCTATTCCAAATTAAAAGAAAAAAAGCAATTAAAAAATACGCTGGTATCAGAGATTCTAACATCTATTGAGTGATAGTAAATTTCCATAATCTCCTATCATTTAAAGAATTAATCATGTTTTAATGATGAAACAAATTTGTTTTAGATTCTCTGACTGCATATACAGTTAGTGTAAATGTCTCAACAAAAGTTTTGATAAATTCAGAAACCATATATATACATCGCCAACATGCAGTTACTTTCTTTCCAAAAATTTCAGACCATTTCAGTCTGAGTTGTGGTTGTCACTTAATAGTTGCTCTTCTTGGGGTTGGCCAAGTGGCTCAGTAGGTTAAGAGTGCAAGCTCTGAGCAACAGGGCCGCCAGTTCAATTCCCACATGGGCCAGTGATGCTGCACCCAAGCTGAGCTGCCAACAGGCGGCAGGATGGCTGAGCTGATGAGAGCACGTGCTCCTTACAAGGTTGCCGGCTTAACTCCCATATGGGATGGTGCACCACGCCCACCAGCAACTAAGACGGAACAGGGCACCTTGAGCTGAGCGGCTGCGAGCTTCCAACGGGCAGCCGGATGGTGACTGGACTTGTAGCCAAGCTAGCTGTGCCCTCCACAACTAAGACTGAAGGACAACAACTTGGCTGTTCCCCTTTCCCAATTCCCCAATAAAATCTTAATTAAAAAAAAAAAGTTACTGTTCTTAAGCAATTTATCCGTATCTTGACTTTCTCGTGTATAATAGCAGTACCTACTTCAAATTTTCCAAGGATTAAATCAGGTAATTATGTAAAGCTCTTAGCAAAGTACCTGGCACATATGTGTTCAATAAATGTTAGTTGCTATCACTGTTACTTTTTCTCTGACCATTTCAAATGACCCTCCACAACACACAGAGTAAATATTAATAAGACACCAAGTATAAACTGTAAGATAAGAGTTTGGGTCCGTTGCTCTACTAACTCATTAAGGGGCAACTCACTTATTCTGTCATGTCTCATACAGACATGACACAGGCCTGGCTAGTTACAGTAAGGAACAATGTCACCTTTAGTGTTTTGGTGTTACTTTGATCAGAGCACTTAAAACTGAATTTTTTTTTACCACTATATGCCATCTGTCTGCTTAAATAAATCATAAATTGATAAAAGGAGGAGACCATATCTTAGTTTTTGTATTGTCCACTCCAACCTGGTGGAACAGTACATCAGATGCTAATCAATGTTTGATAAATATTATGCACATCAAAAAGGTCAAGTAAATTAATGCAATAAGACATTCACAAGCAGCAGAAAGAAAAATTCATGCTCCAAAACTATAGCACCTGGCTATCCAGCCCAAAATAGACATTTTTTCCTTTGAAAAAAAATGGATGCTACTAAGTCAGCTAGACAGTGGACTTGTGCGGAGCAGTTCCTCTTCTGCTCCATCCTTCCAGTGTGTCCTGCTCCCTTCACCAGGAGGCCTTTGCCCATGCTTCTCAGAGGTCAGAACTCCATGCTTTTTTCACCTTTATATCACCAGGGTTTCGATCAGTAACTGGCACATTAAAGGTTCAATAAATGTTGACTAAATTGAACCAGACACAAGGTCATACATGTGACCTGTAAGTTTTCAGTCTATCTGCTAGGCTGGGTAATAAAACAATTCGTTTCTATATGCTAAATCTTTTCCAATCCCAATGTCTTCTATATCCTGTAGGTAACCCTGTCAACCCAGAAACACAAAGAAATTTTCGGATCCCTTTAAATTCCCCTGACTCAAAACTTTCCGCTCAATTTTCTCCCTTTTTCTTTTCCTTTTTCGCTTAGGCTATACGTCTTCTCATTTTCTTTTTTTTTTTAATTAAATTTATTAGGGTGACAATGGTTAGTAAAATTACATAGATTTCAAGTGTACATTTCTATAATACATCATCTATATATCACATTGTGTCATCACCAGAGTCAGTTCTCCTTCCATCACCATATATTTGACACCCTTTACCCTTTTCTATTATACCACCTCCCTCCCCCATTACCCTCTGGTAACCACTAAACTGTTGTCTGTGTCTATGTGTTTTTGTTTCTTTGTTTCGCTTCCCTTTTTCTTAACATGTCAATATTATATATCTGGGTTGTGGTATCATAATACATTAAGGAAGATCATCTCTTAATATATCTAACATTCAAAACTAGATTTACTCTATTTTTTATTTATTCATTTCCTTAGCTATATTCTACGTGAATTTTTGCTTAGTATAGGCATCTGGACTAAAAGTCATATGGCAATGGTTAGCAATACTTTTGATATTATGTAAAAAACAATTCTGTAGAAAACAACAAAAAAATTCTGTTGAAAAAGATATTTCCAGTATATCCCAATGGAAACACTCCCAAAAAGATACTCTTTGTCACCTGGTTACATGAAATTACACATATGTTACATCAATTTATTAATTCAATATGGAAATCATTTCTAGTGTCTTGATTTTATCTTCTAAATGCCCAGATTGGTGAAAAACTAAGCTATAGATAAGTAGTTAATATAGCTGTTTTACATTCAAAATAACATTTACCTTTCTATAACTTGAAGCTGAAGTTGAATAATACTGAATGTCAACTATAATTAAATATATATATATTTATGGTATATAGACTCACGAGATGTGGAATACGGCATAGGGAATATAGTCAATGGAATTGTAACAGCTATATATGATGTCAGATGGGCAATAGATTGGGGGGTATCACTTTGTGAGGGGTGTAAATGTCTAACTATTACACTGTTTTGTACACCTGAAACTAATAAAAAGAAATAATGCCAAGGGAAAAACAAAAAAGAAAATGTATATGAAGTACTGAGCACAGTGTTTGGCTCACTGTAGGTGTTAGCAAATGGAGCTATCATTGAGGCAAGACAGTAGTCTAGGAAATTGACCACCCCCTCCAGGATACCTCATGAGGTACCTCATTGGTTACACAAGTAATTTTTTCAGTTTTATATCTCATTCTTTTTCATTAATAAGTCCCCTTTAACTACTACCTTACACACTCCAATCACCTAAATAAAACTCACCGTATCTCACAAATCCACCAAAACCAGAGAAGAGTACTAAGAAAAAGGGCATATACATTTTGACACCTTTCTTTTTACTTCTGGATAGCAATCATTTCTTAACCCTTATATATTCACTGGAAAGTAGGCATCAGCTCTGATTCAGTTCTAGGTTTCACATATTTAAAATATTTGTTTTTTAAAAGTCCAGAAAATAAATTTAAACCAGGAATATTTACCAATGTTCCAAACACATAGGAAGTTAAGTTTTTGGACCCCTGCCTCCCCCCCAAAACATATATGTATATATACATATGTATGTAAATTTTATAAAGCACTAGTATCTACTCACAACCAGTGTCTTTGAGGCGATTGATGGCATTGGAAAGAAGACGAACACAACCAAGAAATCCAGCACCTTGTTTTTTATGGATCTTCTTGTGATTCCATACACTGATCGTAACTGAATCAGACTTTCCAATATACCTAAAAAACAAAATGACTGCATGAGTAGCTTGGCAATTACAAAATTTTTCTTTTGGTCTTATAGTCCAGAGTCACAAATGTTTCACAGTACAACTAGATAACGCAAAATATGTTTTGAGTTCAATCCATCCACAGGACTGAACTTAAATTTTTTTAAAAATCTTAAAAGTAAAATCTAAAAAGAATTTTTAATCTATCCTTTATCACATATGCCACTGTCATGCTAACAATTTTTGTTAGTAAAAAAACTATTTTAGTAGCTGGTGTCAAATAACACTATGGGAGTTTATGGTTATTTCTTTCCAAGAAAAATCTTACAAGAACTTTTATCACAGTCACATCTTAAATACATTTCCGTGATATAACCTACTACCTCAGAGAGTACTCAGGTCATTTTCAAGGAGCATTGTCAAGGCTGACAGACCAAAAATCTAACATACCTGTTATGTTTTAAATTGCTGTAGAACAAAAGCTGACTGTAACGCTTTTCCCCTGCTTCTTTCCTGTATGCAGGCCTTGAGCGAGCAGGACTCTTGCAGATTTCACTTCACTGCCTGCAGACAAGCAGAGCAGGGAAAAGCGTTACAATACTTGTCTGCGCATATACCTGCAAGTATGTAAAAGCTCTACCACAGCCAATTGTGAACATGGTGTCATCCCATGCAAAAATATAATAAAATTACATAATTCTATCAGTTGAACCTTAGCTATTTCAATGACTCTAAGAGGTCAAATTTTTGGTCCAGCAACCTTGACCTTAACGTATCATTCAATAAAGCAATAACATAAAAAAAAAATCTCCTAGTATATAAAAAAGCCTAAATCATCAAGTGAAAAACAAAGCTTTTAAATGAGGAACATGGTAACCGCACCTGAGCCTCTGGACCCAGCTGTACTTAAACCATGCCCACCCCCTAGACTTTTAACTCTGCAAGCTAATGCATTCCCTTTTTTAAAATTATGCCAATTTGAATTTCATTTCTGTTGCTTGCAAATGAAAAAAATCTGAACTAAAATATCATTCAGTATGCATGTACCAATCTTCAAATAGGCCTAACAGATCTAACTTGGCAAGTATCTACTACATGACACGACAGAATTCTAGAACCAGAATCAAGTATTAAACAGTTAAATGACCTCAAAACAAACATTAAAAAAAAACAGGGCTGGCCGAGTAGCGCGATGGGTACGAACTGGCTTGGGACGCCAGAGGGCCCCGGTTCGGATCCCACATATGAGGGCCAATGACACTGCCCTCCACAGCTAAGATGCTGAACAACAGCTCAACCTGGAGCTGGGCTGCTGTGAGCCGCCGGTGACGG